TCGCCGTCTCGCATACGTCTACGGCAATGACGCATGTAGTGATACCATTTCTACGACAGACACTGTCACCGGCAACAGCACTCCAGTGGTGCGAAAGAATCAGCCCATGTGCTCTCCTTCGAATGCACTGCCGGCACAGTAGGCGCCAAAACAAGCATGCGATGAGCCTCCATTGGGGCATGGCTCGGTGCCACCGATGCAGGCGCCGTGTTCAGAACAGGAACAGGCACGACCGGCGCCAACATGACCGGCCGTAGAACGTCTTCCGCACGCTGAACAGGAGCCACTATGGAATCCCGGCTGGCACGTTCAGCGGATGCATCTCCGGGGGCCCGAGAACAGAACCAGCACTCCAGAAACCACCATCAGCCGAGAGAAGCAGAGCCGGGGCGGCAGCCGAAGCAGCCAGAACGGGAGTAGCAGACACAAGCGATGTACGGATGTCTGAGACGCAAAATGGTAAGGTAGGGTCAGCAGCAGCAGACACGACCGGAACAGCCATCCTAGCAGTAGAAGTACTCCCACTTGAAGTAGGTCGAACCATGGTACGCTCAACTGCCGGCAACACGGCAGAATAGGGCGCATCAGGAGCATGGCCTGCTGGGACGCCAACACGTGCAGTACAAGTGAGCACACTCTCAGTATGGGCCGGAATCGTAGCAATACGGGAAGTCAAAAAATGGTGGGATCTACCAGTAGGTACATTCCCTGTGGATCGGCAGACGCTTCCGTAGTTTCCACGACGTCCGCACCGCGAACATGTCAGGCTTCTGGCCGGGCAAGCGGCGGAGTCGGCCCAATGTTGCGTGGAGCCGCAGCGGTAACAGGCACCCACACGAGCCAGTGTTGGAAGCTGGAGCGGAGGTGTCCGCAGCAGCGGAGGGCGAGGTGGTGCACGCAGGAGAAGTCCCGCCGGCGCCATCTTTCAGCGATGCTTCGGGAAGACGGCCACCATTTGGCCTGGCGTCTTGAATAATTCGGTGAGCTGAGCCGCCACCTTGAATTGGACGTGACGACACGACGTCGACTTGTGTTCCAGACAACTGTGGCAACGCGTGGTCGACACGATCCTCCTCTCTCACTACGTCGAGCGCCTTCTGTAGGAAGAAGGAATTCCCCATCTTGAAAAAAAATCTTTGGAGGTGCGCCGACGTGATGCCAGAGACGATCAGGTCGAAATCGACGATATCGCCTGCCGCGCCGAGTTCACAAAGCTTGCCTACTTGGCGTACTTCTTAAATAAATTCCACCGCCGACTGGTCTTGTCCCTGACACAGGGTTTTGAAGAGTGCGCGTAGACACGCCCCGTCCGGTTGAAGGTAACATAGATCATTAAACAGCGCAAGAGCGGCGTCGTACACATTTAGCGTGATCTACTAAGTTGGCCGGTCGGCTCCTGGCTGCTGCTCATCGGCGGCATGCAGGTAAGTGTTGAGTACCTCGACGCATAAGGCGTTCAGGAGCAGCGTCTTCTTGTGCTCCGGCGTGGCAACCCCGGCAGCGGCGTCTATGTAGAACTGTAACACAGGATACCACTGCCTTCATGGAATAGGTGGTACACCGGGGCACTCAAGAAACGGAGATGGAGGGATAGCCGCGTTCATGATTGCCGAAGAGAGCGTCGGAAAGGAATTTCCGAAGAGACGCGCACGTCGGTAGGCCTCGTGATCGAACTGGCACGAAAAGTGAAAAGAAAAGTGAAATAGAAGCAGGAAATACAGTATTGGTGGAATAGCTTGCACGGGTGCTGAGTCGACAGCACGAGAAAAAAGGCTGGATGCCCACCTCATCGCATGACGCTCGTGGGTTGATGCTCGTCGCCAAAATGTAGTATTGTGCGTCGGACGTGACACACGATACGACACACGAGAACACAGGGCACGGCACCGAAGCGCCGGCCGTCAAAAAGTATGTAGCAACCGGCAGCTACGCAAGTAATTCCTGTATATGACATAAACATCGCTACACGGGGTGTCCCTTCTAACTTGAGCCAAAAATTTTAAAATGAAAGACATTTCAGAGGCGAATTGAACCAAACACGTACTACTCGCACTAGACTTTAGGTACTCGGGCATTTTTTTCTTTCTACCCATACTAAGTAATATTTGTTTCATAATTGCCTATGTTCAATTACGGGATGGAAACCTAAACTATGAATACTGAGATGAAGAGCACTTTCAGAAACCACCGAATAAATTGTTTCCTGTACGATTCGTTTAGCACTGTTATGTTTTCTGAATTGTAAAAATGCCTATAGCAGCCCTATAGGAGTGCGCCCGTGGTCAAAACACAGCTTCTTTTGAAGTTTCACAGGCTTTCTTTACAACGTGGAAAACACAACATTGCGAGACGTATCGTACAGGAAAAAATTTAGCCCATGGTTTCTGAAAGTGCTCTACAACTCTGTATTCAATATTTGGGTTTGAATCGCATAATTACATAATCAGTTTTTAAAAATATAAATAATACTTATGTGGAGAAATAAAAAATACCCTGAGTACTTACCTTCAGGCAAGTGCGAGTAGTATGCGTTTGGTTCCATTCGCCTCCAACGTGCCTTTTCCTTTCAAATTCTTGGCTTAAGTTATGTGGGACACCCTAAATAAACATATGCACAAATCCCTCTAGTGGGCCAGACACAACGTTTCGAAACTGGAACCAAAACACCAATACCACAAAAAGGCTATATACTTTTCAAAAAATACATGGCAATATCTGTGCATTATGGGTCCTTACATATAGGCTTCGGATTTATTCTCCCCTAGTGTACATATTCAATTTTCAGGTATAATTGGATCTAAACTCTTGTAACAATATTTCGGCAGTTTAACACGATGGCTCCCTCCATGTCACAAAGACGACGAACATGGCACTTGACTCGCGCGCGTGGCACGAGGCCACGCTGGAAGCCTATGACGTGACTCACTCAAAAGCATCAGGTGGGCCAATCAGGAGCCGCGTCGTCATCATTGTCTGCTGCGGTGGAGCTACGCCGCTGACTACACTGCTACGAAGTAAGGCTGTCTCTTTGGGTGACTCTATCTCGAAAAAACCGTTCGTGCCGGGACATCTCGCGGGCAAGATGGGCTACCGCAAGGTGACTCGGATGCGGATGCCGAAGAGGACCGACGGCACAGCGAGACACCGATGTGCGCCGGGAGAGCGAAGTTTGACGGACCAAGGTTGCGGGATTTCCTGCACTGCAGCCATGCCACTGCGGAAGATCGGCGACAACATCCCGGGATGGGATACAATAGAGGAGCGAATGCGATGTGGATGCCTTCCGCAAGAAACCCCTGTGAAGGTGAGTTCCATTATCAATGTTTATGAACAATAGCAGTGACCGATGAATCAACAACTTAGACTCGTTAAAGCATTGTACTTGAGTCAGTCAGCTAGAGAAGACGTTGTCAGTGCTGTAGTGTTGTGAAACAATGTCACTGCAGGTGCACAGTATACCTATTGAATGCTCATCCTAAATACTGCCCTTTACGCCTAACGGTCACTTTTTCGGAAGCAAGTCTTTTTTTTTTAAGTTTCTTAACTCTACGCAGCCATTTGCCGGGGACGTCGGTTCACCCTGGTCCCCCAAGTGTCCTGCTCCTGGGCCCAAGCAGGTGTTTGTGCCCATTCACATCAATCCCAGGTACCAGACAAGCCACAGTCGTCGAGCCCCAAAAAGAAGCAGTGGGAGGAGATGTGGTTGGTGTGAAAGTCTCGTCGATACAGTCCACGACAACCAGGGCAAATGGCGCTGCAGCGAACGGCCTGCTAAATGCGCCCATGTTTCTACAGTTCAACAATAACCCGTGATTACAAACTATTTGTATCTGCTTTGTCTTACAACTCTGAGCGTTTAGAGTTTGTAAGTATTGTTAATAAAATCATATTGAGGCGTCATTACCGTCTTATGATTTGAAACATACTTACGTGAGTTTTCCCATGATCATCAAGCAATCCAGTAGAGGCTTCGTTTTTTATTCTTGGATGAGCCTCAGTGGCATTAGAGAATATTTCGGCAGCAGCTTCACTAACACACCTAAATCATTGTGATACAGCATGTCGGAACCTTGTGAATTCTAAGCTAGATAATATTTTAAGTCCAACCGACGTGGTGGCTCATTGGCGGGGCTCGCCAGCTGACTCAAAAAACCGCGGGTTCGATCCCTGCCGTGTTGCTCTCATTTGGGAAAGTGAAATGCTAAAAGCAATTTTCGTGCGACTCATGCGCATGGAAATAGCTGGAGCCTAAATTATACGGCGTCTTTCATAGCCTGAGTCACGGCCTCCATTTCATGTAAACATCGATTGATTCACGATAAAACAATTTATTGTGGCAAATTTGTGTGATCAGCATTGTCATTTCGCGTGGCCTGTAAGCGGCATCACTAACATGCTCAGGTAAGCATGCAAGATACGTGTGAGCTTCTTGCAAGTAGTGTACTGCAGTGTACCCTATGAAAACGAGAGTAATTGAGAGGGGGCTGCTGCAACGAGCTGTGAACAGCCACGAGGAAGAAGCAGAAGACCACGGTGTCGTCTGTTACTTGCAATGCCAGCCGCCATATCGAAACGCCCTGCTCTATTGAAACCTATTGAGTTTTATGCGCAGCTATAAATATACAAACAATATCCTTAGTTCTTTTTTGTTTGAAAAGGTATTTGAGTGTTCAAACCTTTTTCAGTTATGAGAAAAATAGTGATTTCCCAATATTTTTACAATTGCTGCCTGAATTTATATGGTGCTATCATCGCGTCCAATTTTTATCCCCATCGGTTCTAAGAAAATGTCTCTTTCTAAGCCAAGCAGAGCGCGTTTAAAGCGTCTGGAGAGCCAATCAAAACGCGCTTCTCCAGCCCTCATTGTCCCTACGAAGCCAGGCTGCAACAAAAATAGATAACTGCCATTCCATCCACTCCCCGAAGAAGCAAGCTCGTAGCGGAAACTCTTTCAGACTGGGTAGACCAACGCATGGCGAGTACAATAGTGGAGCCGCCCGATGACGCAGCGGCAGGACGACTTCAACTGCGGTAACGAGGCTTCGCAGGCCCAGGCTACGAGCTTTGCTGCAAAGAAGCCACCACACAGCGGTCTATCCCTGACATCCAGTGCAACATCAGAAGAGCCAAATCGATGTGGAGGTCTCACTCAAGAAACCATTGTACAGCAGGTGAGCCTCGTAGTCGATCCTCTTAGCATGAACCACTCGCATATGGCACAGCTGAGTCAACTTATGAATCTGGTAATCCTAATGAAGCAGGCAACCGCTGCGATATTTGAGACGTAGAGGAAGTTTATTCAAGCTCGCTGCGCCCTTTCGCTCTTTTTCAGAAGCGCACAATTTCGCAAGAGTGGTATCTTCTTTTCACAAAACTGTTCGTCTACATCACTTTAGCGTATACTCTTGCAGTGTTGGTGATAAACAAATAGACCTTGTTAACACCACGAAGGCACTCGTCGAACGAGCCACTATCTCTTCTCCTACAAATCCTCTCCTTATGTGTGCGGGCCTACCTACGTCTACATCGAGCTTGCAGGAGCCACAGAAGCCACAAGGTGCCGGAGGAAGTAGTTCCAGTGAACCCCTTCCTCCTTTGGCATTCGAAGCGTAAACATGTCTGCACTCAGCGACGTGGCCAGCGCCGAACGGAGTGTTGTAGACGAAACAGGGTTCAACAACGCGAGAACAAAGCTTTTCCAAGGCGCCCGGGATGGCATCAATCCAACTGGACCACAGCTGCTACGACAGATATCTCGCTTGCTTCAGAACTGGGATCCACTTCTTTGACAAAGGAATTCAACGCTGTGCCATTTTCGGCTGTTCACCGGCTATCTCATCTTCTAAACAATTCATGTTGCCAATGAATAATATGAATTTGGACTTAATGTTGTCAAACAATATTAATAAAACAAAACATAAGCGTCTTTTCTGGCCTTTGATATTGAAGCATCAGTGGAACTTCTTTTAGGTATGTTGGTGCACAAATTTCAAGGGTAACATACACAGATGTGGTGAGACAGTTTTGCATGGCGCTTGTCCCATTTCTTCTTTGTGATCTGGTCTTGTTCGAGCGTTCATCTTCAAGATTTTGAATCAGTATTCCCAAAACGTGACGGGTTTACATATTTAAATATGCATTGTTATATCAGTGCGTGGTATTCGGCGGTTTTGCTGACAACGTATTGTCACGTCGTGCTCTCTTAAAAAGTTGTCCAAACTTTCCTTACTGTTTCAATATTGCGAATACCAGCAGCATTGACAATATAACAGAAAAAACGCCAAGAAAATCTGCATTACTCAAAATATTCTGTAACAGCTTTAGCAATTTCATTTTAAATATCCGGAATGCTTTGTAGCTTCCTATCGATAGCCGTAATGTTACGCAAAGGAGGCGCATTGGCCATTTCAAATAGAACTGACTATTTGACGAATTGGTACGTATGCATAGATTTATAATAGCGCGGCAAAGTAAATTGACTATTGATAACTCGAACATAAATGCTGGCGCTTGTGTTCGTGTTATTAGAAGACTTTACGCCTGCTTTGTTGTGCCATTCTAAATACATGTGTTTCAAACAGTTATCGAATATTCGCTACATATACAAACATTACGAGAACAGACAATAACACCAAGAAAGCTGTATGGCATGATATTAATAGTAATTATGATATGTGTGCCATTTAGGGTGACTAACTGGATTCCCAGGGAAGGCAAGCGGGTTAGTGGGAGACAGAACGTTAGTTGGGCAGATGAGATTAAAAAGTTTGCCGGTATAAATTGGTAGCAGCAAGCACAGGACCGAGTTGACTGGCGGAACGTGGGAGAGGCCTTTGTCCTGCAGTGGACGTCGTCAGGATGATGATGATGATGATGATGATGATGATGATGATGATGATGATATGTGTATAACTCCTTCTACGTTCCTGAAAACTTTGGGCCAAGTGTGAGGAAATCTCATAGCCATGCTTAGGTCCCGCTCAGTGAAATGAATTGGTATGGAAAATGCATGCACGATCATTGTTTCAAGTTTCAGCGTTGCCGGACAAGCAATTTTGTTTATGCACATCCCGACGCATTTTATATACACCTGAACAACGAAGAGAAAATAGGCGACATGCCTGAACCGGCGGTATTCGGCATGTAGGGAAGTCATCAGCAGCAACAACGGTCCTTGAAAAATACTGCTAAGATTTGCTTAAGACACCCTCACATATGAGCTAGAAGATTTACTCGTTTTTCGCAATTCCGGAGCTTACCGGTCCCTGTTCCTATTCCACGTCATCCCTCATGCATGGTATAACAGTGGCTAAGGTGCTCGACTATTGCTTCGGGGGTCGCGGTTTCGATCCCAGCAGCAGTGGTCACATATCGGTGGAGGCTAAATGGTGGAGACACGTGTACTGTGCGATTTCAGTGCACGTTAAAAAAAATCAGATAGCCTAACTTTCTAAAGTCCTCCACTACCACATCCAGTGATCATATTGTGTATTTGGGACGTAAAATCGCAGATAAAATACGTATTATTTTGAACAACGTCACTACTGAAATCTCTATACGAACTTTATAAACGACCTCCCAACAAACAAAGCCAGTTAGACAACAGTCACAGGTGCCATTTGTCACCGTAAATAAACAATATAAATATCAACTTGAAAAGGTAATTCGTTATTGCAGTCTGTTGAAAGTGTGACGGCAGAACGTACGTGTAGAATTTCACATGAGTGCTGCAGTTACTTCTTTATTAAATGCGACTCATTCGCAGAGCGTGAGGCACTGGCCGAACTTTATCCTCTGAATTCCCTTCCTTACTACTGGAGGCAGGGCGGGTGTGGCAACCTTGCCAATGCAGGGCCGTGTATCCGGTTTCCCAGGAGAGGGGGGCGGGCGTAGTTGAAGACCGGCACGAACGCCCTAGTAAGTCCCTTCAATCCTTGCAAGCGTCTGGCGTCCCACTGCAGCACGTCACCCAATACAGGCACTACACGTTCGTGCAGAAAATGTAGTCGGCCTCGCACTATGAACGATGTACTAACCAAGACATTGTAGGCATATAAATCGCATAATGTCTACGTTGAAGTCGCCCACTCGTATGAAGGACGGACGGACGTATGCACAGACGGACACAGAGACGCACGGATGAATGAATGAATGGATAGGTACACGGACAGATGGACGGACAGGTGCATGGAGAGATGTCCAATCGTTGAACGGACGCACGAACAGATGGACGAATGGACACATGCCCGGACTGAGGATGTTCTAATTTAAAATCATATATGGGCACTATGAACATGTTCTGTAGACGGTCTTGCGCACTGTTCTTTCGCACCTGCGCTGCAATTTGAGCACGCCAGTGAAAGGATTTACATAGCGTGACAATAAGGTTGTTTGCCCCTATAACTGTGGCCGTTATTGCAGCTGTACTTTACTCGCGGAAAGTGGTAGAAGTTTACTCTTTTTTTTTTGTTGAGAAGCATTTCTTAGCTAGCTTCGGCGACTTTGAGCGTACCTATCTATCTATCTATCTATCTATCTATCTATCTATCTATCTATCTATCTATCTATCTATCTATCTATCTATCTATCTATCTTGCCACTTATGTTTGGGTGCTCTCGTGGTCACTCCCTTAACTTGGCGTGAACCAAAATCGGCATGGGAGGGTTAGATGGTTTGACGAATAGGACGGGCTGGTCAAGGCATGAATAATGTCAGAATCTCGTCGCGTACGTCGTCAAACCATTCCCGCCAGACAGTGGCACATACCCATGGGCAGGTATGTGCCGCTGGTATGCGGGTATGTGGCACAGGTTATTGACACTTACTATCTACCCTGCTAAGCAGCAGAGGGTGCTAAGAATCTCTGGATCTGGACAAGCCGCCATAGGAACCTGAATTTGGCAACGTTTAACGTTAGAACCTCATCTAGTGAGGGAAGTCTAGCTGTACTATTCGAGGAGCTAGAGGGTGTTAAATCAGATATAATAGGGCTCATTGAGGTTAGGAGGAAAGAAGAGGCTTATACGGTGCTACAGAATGGGCAAGTCATTTGCGATAGGGGCTTGGCTGACAGAAGAGAACTGGAAGTGGGGCTCCTAATTCACAGAAACATAGCTGTCAACATAGAAGAATACTATATCATTAATGAAAGGGTGGTAGGTATCCTAATTAAACTGAATAAAAGATACAAGATGAAGGTGGTACAGGCTTACGCACCTACATCCAGCCATGAAGAGGCTTCAGGTGAAAGCTTCTATGAAGACGTGGAATCGGCAATGAGTAAGGTAAAAACACAGTATACTATACATATGGGAGACTTTAATGCAAAGATAGGGAAGAAGCAGGCTAGAGACCAGCCAGTAGGAGATTATGGCATCGGTACTAGAAACGCCAGAAGAGAGCTACTGGTAGAATTCGCCGAATTCCATAGTTTACGGATTTTGAATACCTTCTGCCGAAAACGAGGAAAGCGCAAGTGGACATGTAGGAGCCCTAATGGCGAAATCAAGGACGAAATAGATTTTATAATGAGTGCACACCCAGGCATCGTGCAGGATGCGGAAGTGGTTGGCAAGGTACGATGCAGTGACCATAGAATGGTACGGTCTCAAATTTGCCTAGACTTGAAGAGCGAATGCCAGAAACTGATACGCAAGAAGCCAATCAATGAGCTAGCACTGAGAGGGAAAGTTCAAGAGTTCATAGTCTCCCTTGAGAACAGGTACTCGGCTCTTAGTGAGGAAACCAACCTTAGCGTAGATACAATGAATGATAATTGGACGAGTATCATTACGGAGTGTGCAGTGAAAGTTGGAGATAGGGTAGTTTGACAGGACACTGGCAAGCTTTCCCAGGAAACGAAGAATCTCATTAAGAAGCGTCAAATCATGAAAGTCTCAAGTACAACAGACAAAATAGATCTGTCAGAGATTTCAAAGTTGATTATTAGCCGTAAGGTATGTGATGTAAGAAGGTATAACATGGAGAGAATTGAACACGTTCTGAAAAATGGCGGAAGCGTCAAAGCAGTAAAGAGGAAACTTGGGATAGGCAAAAATCGGTTGTATGCACTAAGGGACAAAGAAGGCAAAATAACTTCTAGTATGGATAGGTTAGTTAAAATAGTGGAGGCGTTTTACAAAGTTCAGTACAGCAGCCGGGACAACCACGACTTTAATACTATAAGAACTAGCAGAAACCCAGATGACAACCCACCTGTAATAATAAAAGAAGTCAGAAAAGTTTTGGAGAGTGTGCGAAGAGGCAAATCTGCTGATGAGGATCAGGTAACATCAGATCTGCTGAAAGATGGAGGACAGATTGTGTTAGAAAAGCTAGCCAGCCTGTTTACGAGATGTCTCCTGACGGGAAGAATAGCAAAGTCTTGAAAGAACGCTAACATCACTTTACTACATAAGAAAGGAGATGACAAGGACTTGATGAATTACAGGCCGATTAGCTTGCTCTCTGTAGTATACAAGCTATTCACAAATGTAATTGCTAACAGAGTAAAGAAAACAATAGAATTCAATCAACCAAAGGAACATGCAGAATTTTGAACAGGCTACTCAACAATCGACCACATTCATACCATTAGTAAGGTAATAGAGAAATGGTCCAAATATAACCGAACCCTATACATCGCCTTCATAGATTACGAGAAGGCATTTGATGCAGTAGAAATATTAGCCATCATGGAGACACTGCGGAAGCAGCGCGTCGATGACGTATATATAAAAATCCTGGAAGAAATCTACAGAGGATGAACTGCTATCATAGTGCTTCATAAAGAAAGCAGCAGGATACCAATCAAGAAGGGTGTAAGGCAGGGGGACACAATCTCCCCAATGCTATTTACCGCGTGCTTATATGAGGTTTTCAGAAGCCTAGAATGGGAACAGTTAAAGATAAGAGTTAATGGAGAATACCTTAGTAACCTGCGCTTCGCCGATGACATTGCATTCCTGAGTAACTCAGGGGACGAATTGCAACTCATGATTATGGAGTTAGACAAGGAGAGCAAAAAGGTGGTTCTTAAAATTATTCTGCGGAAAACGAAAGTAATGTACAACAACCTCGGAAAAGAGTAGCGCTCCGAGATAGGTAGTAGTGCACTTCAAGTTGTAAAATACTATGTCTACTTAGGGCAGGTAATAACCGCGGAGCCAAACCACGAGATTGAAGGAACTAGAAGAATAAGAATGGGGTTGAGCACATTTGGCAAGCACTCTCAAATTATGACAGGTAGGTTCCCACTATCCCTCAAGAGGAAGGTATATAACAGCTGTATCTTCCTGGTACTTTGCTACGGAGCGGAAACCTGGACACTTACAAAGAGGGTTTCGCTTAAATTGAGGACGACGCAGCGAGCAATGGAAAGAAAAATGGTAGGCGTAGCCTTAAGAGACGAGAAGAGAGCAAAGTGGATTAGGGAAAAAATGGGGGTTAAGGATGTCATATCTGAAATCAAGAAGAGGAAATGGACATGGGCTGGGCATGTAGCGCGTAGACAGGATAAGCGTTGGTAATTGAGGGTAACTGACTGAATTCCCAGAGAATACAAGTGGGTCAGGGGGAGACAGAAGTTTATTTGGGCAGATGAGATCAAGAAGTTTGCGGTTATAAATTGGCAGCAGCATGCACAGAACCGAATTAGCTGCCGGAACATGGGAGAGGCCTGTTTGTTTGTTTGTTTGCCTGGGCTGATGGCTAATACCCACTCAGGGGGATTGGCCAAGAAAGTGTAGTGCAGTTTTTCTGTGATCATTTTAACTCTGTGTAAGGAATTTGTATCATATTATGACTGATGAAAAGAAAAGCACATAAAAGAGAGAAAACGAGAAAAAAAATAGAAAAGCAATTTTGAGATTTCAGGTGTTGAGATTACCACTCATCTGCGTCGACTTCACTTTGCCATGAGAGTTATAAATATTAATTATTTCATTGAAGATCACAAAGGTAAACGCTTGGTTGCCTGAATATAATCGCAAACGGCATTGAAAGCATCCTTGTGGCAATGTCCCAAAACTGAGGCACCTAATCTTAGCGCACTTTACGCCGTCAATCTAACGACTATTTTCATAAATGGAATAACTAGTTACCTTTTTCGAAGTATAGCGTAACGGCGACAATACAAAAAATAATGTTCTATTGATTCCATTTCTCCACAGAATGCGCAGAGGGGTGATGTTGTCTGACCAGCTCTGTGTAGATACAGGTTTTGGGGGGGGGGGGGGGGGACAAGACATCAAAATTTATTATTTAAAATTTCGAGCATTTTGGACTGGCTTCAGTGGGGTCGCCATGGAAACTTGAGGTGGTTATATTCTGTTCATGTAGTTTCTTTTTCTAGCGTATCAGTGGAGATTGCTGATTTTGAATATCTTATTGCTGTAATATATTCAACACCTGGCAGTATGGATAAAACTGGGCCATCAATGGCTGCTCGTGCTAAGGAATCGGCCAATTCATTTATTCTTAATCCACAGTGTCCAATAACCCATAGTCAAGGCCTTTGTCCTGCAGTGGACGTAGTCAGGGTGATGATGATGATGATGACGATGATCTACCCAGGAAGGACGAGAACACACATGGGCGATATTAACGCGTGAGCGTTAAGAAATACTCGACAACGGTAGCATTGACCCAATAAATTCAAAAAATTATTGTCAGGGTCCCAGCTGGAATCGAAACCAAGCATTTAGCCTGGCAAGGAAACATTATAACACAGAGCTTCGCCAGGTCTCGGAACTATTTTTCAAATACACGCTAATTATCTTGAAACGTCAATATTGATTGCTGTGCTGCCTACCCAATTTTAAAAAAAAAGCATTACACAGGCACTCCTTTGATACAGCCGTCACCTGGGCTAACGTAAATTGTGGTTGGTTGCCTTGCGCTGAAATTTATTTACGTAGCAGCGTCTAGGGCCAACATCCTCGCGAGCATCAGCCTTTCATGGAAGCTTCTGGTGTTGCTAATACTCGTTTTCCAGTTAGCATCGTTGCGCAAGGACAAACAACTGGTTATATAAAGATATGCAATGCTTCAACATATCTCTAAGCGTGCAGCATTTGTATACATGCATTTAGCGTAATTTCATGACGTGTCGCTTAATAAAAAAATTGTAACACGGTTACCTTCCCGCCGCGTGCTTCGCATATCTTCCGACTTTTTTCTTACGTTACTACCTACTATAAAAGCAAACAGCGTAGCAAAACGCGCTCCCAAACGTGTGGTCTCTGCGCATGCGCCTAGTATCCGAATAATCGTTACTGCAATATGGCCAATATAGGGTGCTACCACGTTCGGGGCCCATCATTCATGTGACATCCGTTTAAATTACACAGCTGTACAGTCGTTTTAAAAATACCCCAATAGCGTCTACCAAATGATACATCAGCGCCTTATTACAGCGAGGTTGGTGATACAATACGCATGTTTTGACATTCTACCATCATCAGCTACGCTGTTCGATCTTATAGGACATGAGTCAAACTTTCCTCGTTTGTGCGACTACGTTGAAAGCATGAACGAAAGAGAGAGAATGAAAGAAGAAGTGCTCCGACTAAAGAATGAACAAGAAAGAATAATTAAGCGGACGAAGCGACCACAACGAATACACAAGAATGCACGCATGAGTAAGCTAACGAAAGAAGAAAATAAGCGAACTAGATTGAAGAAAAAAAGATTTATGCTTTCCAAAAAATACATCGCATTATTTGTGCATGATGGGTCCTTAAGTATAGGCTTCGAATTTATTCTCAGTGACTGCACATATTCAATTTCAAGGTATAGATGGTTCTAACTTTTTGTAACAATATTTCGCCCGTTTAACACGATGGCTCCGTGTCACAAAGACGACGAACATGGCACTTGCCTCGCGCGCGTGACACGAGGCCACGCTGGACGCAGGCTGATGCGTCTCGCTCGAATGCGTCAGGTGGGCCAATCAGGAGCCGCGTCGTCATCACTGTCTGCTGCAGTGGAACTACGCCGCTGACCACACTGCTGCGAAGTAAGGCTGTCTCTTTGAGTGACTTTATCTCGAAGAAACCTTTCGTGGCGGGATATCTTGCGAGCAAGGTGGGCTACCGCAAGGTGACTCGGATGCGGATGCCGAAGAGGACCGGCGGCACAGCGAGGCACCGTCGTGCGCCGGGAGAACAAAGCTTGTCGGACCGAGGTTGTGGGATTTCCTGCACTGCAGCCATGCCACTGCGGAAGATCGGCGACAACAACCCGGGAAACACTAGAGGAGCGAATGCGATGTGGATGCCTCCCGCAAGAAACCCCTGTGAAGGTGAGTTCCTTTATGAATGTTTGTGAACGATAGCAACGATGAATCGATAGAACGATGAATCAACAACTTAGACTGATTAAAGCATTGTACTTGAGCCAGTGAGCTAGAGAAGCAGTGGTCAGTGCTATACTGTTGTGAATTAACGCCACTGCAGGTGCATAGTATACCTATTGAATGCTCATACTGCATTTCACGCCTAGAGGTCGCACTTTCGGAAGCGAGTCTTGTTTTAAATGTTTCCTAACTCTGCGCAGCCATTCGACGGGGAGGTCGGTTTACCCTGGTCCCGCAAGTGTCCTGCTCCTGGGCCCAAGCAGGTGTTTGTGCCCCTTCACATCAATCCCAGGTACCAGATAAGCCACAGTCGTCGAGCCCCAAAAGGAAGCCATTGGAGGAGATGTGACTGGTGTGAAGTTCTCGCGGTTACAGTCCACAACAACCAGGGCAAATGGCGCTGCAGTAAACGGCCTTGATTATGCGCCTATGTTTCGACTGTTCAACAATAACCGGAGATTGCAAACTATTTCTATCGGCTTTGTCTGACAACTCCAACCGTTTAGAGTTTTCAAGTATTGTTAATAAAATCATATTGAGGCGTCATTACCGTCTTATGATTTGAAACATATTTACGTGATTTTTTCCAAGATCATCAAGCAATCGAGGAGATGCTTCGTTGTTTATTCTTGCATGAGCCTCAGTGGCATTAAAATATTTCGGAAGCAGCCTTACTAACACACCTAGATCATTGTGATACAGCATGTCGGTACCTTGTGAATTCCAAGCTACGATAATATTTCAAGCCCAGCCGACTTGGTCACTCATTGGCGGGGCTTGCCAGCTGACTCAAAAAACCTCGGGTTAGATCCCTGCCGCGTTGCTCGTCTTTCGGAAAGTGAAATTCTAGAAGCAATTTTCATGTGACTCGAGTGCACAAAAATAGCTGGAGCCCTATATTATACGGCGTCTTTCATAGCCTGAGTCATGGCCTCTATTTCATGTAAACTAAGATAGACACGCAATAAAACAATTTATTGCGGCAAGTTTGTGTGATCAGCGTTGTCATTTTGCATGGCCTGTAAGCGGCATCATCAACATGCTCAAGTAAGCATGCAAGATACGTGTGAGCTTCTAGTAAGTAGTGTACTGCAGTACTCTATGGAAACGAGACTAATTGAGAGGGGGCTGGTGCAACGAGCTGTGAACAGCCACGAGGCAGAAGCAGAAGACGACGGTGTCGTCTGTTACTTGGAATTCCAGCCGCCATATTAAAACGCCCTGTTCTATTGAAACCTATTTAGTTTTATGCGCATCTATAAATATACAAACAATATCCTTAGTTACTCTTTGTTTGAAAAGGTATTTGAGTGTTGAAGATAATGAGAGCTCTTGCAGTTATGAGAAAAATAGAGATTTACTAATATTTTTAAAACTGCTGCCTGAATCCATACGGTGCCTTCATCGCGTCCAATTTTCATCCCCATTGGTTCTAAAAAAATGTCTCTTTCTAAGCCAAGCAGAGCGCGTTTAAAGCGTCTGGAGAGCAAATCAAAACGCGCTTCCCCAGCCCTCTTTGTCCCGACGAAGCCAGGCTGCAACAAAAATACACAGCTGCCATTCCATCTACTCCCCGAAGAAGCAAGCTCGCAGCGGAAACTCTTTTAGACTGGGTGGACCAACGCATGGCGAGTACAATGGTGGAGGAGACCGATGACGCAGTGGCAGGACGACTTCAACTGCAGTAACGAGGCTTCGCAGGCCCAGGCTACGAGCTGTGCTGCAAAGAAGCCACCACACAGCGGTCTATCCCTGACTTCCAGTGGAACATCAGAAGAGCCAAATCGATGTGGACGTCTCACTCAAGAAACTATTGTGCAGCAGGTGAGCCTCGTAATCGATCCTGTTAGCATGAATCACTCGCATACGGCACAACTGAGTCAACTTATGAATCAGGTAATCCTAATGAAGCAGGCAGCCGCTGCGATATTTGAGACGTAGAGGAAGTTTAATCAAGCTCGCTGCGCCCTTTCGCTTTTTTCAGAAGCGCGCCATTTTGCAATAGTGCTATCTTTCTTTCACAAAACTGTTCGTCTACATCACTTTAGCGTATACTCTTGCAGTGTTGGTGATAAACAAATAGACCTTGTTAACACCACGCAAGCACTTGTCACACGAGCCACTATCTCTTCTCCTACAAATCCTCTCCTTATGTGTGCGGGCCTACCTACGTCTATATCGAGCCTACAGGAACCATAGAAGCCACAAGGTGCCAGAGGAAGTAGTTCCAGTGAACCCCTCCCTCCTTTGGCCTTCGAAGCGTAAACACGTCTGCACTCAGTGACGTGGCCAGTGCCGAACGGAGTGTTGTAGACGAAACAGGGTTCAACAACGCGAGAACAAAGCTTTTCCAAGGCGCCCGGGAGGGCATCAATCCACGCTGGACCACAGCTGCTACGAAAGATATCTCGCTTGCTTCGGAACTGGAATCCATTTCCTTGACAAGGGAATTCAACGCTGTGCCATTTTCGGCTGTTCACCGGCGATCCCATCTTCTAAACAATTGATGTTGCCGATGCATATTAACAATTTGGACCTAATGTTGTCAAACAATGTTAATAAAACAAAACATAAGCGTCTTTTCTGGCCTTTGATATTGAAGCACCAGCGGAACTTCCTTTAGGTTTGTTGGTGCACAAAATTCAAGGGTAACATACACAGATGTGGTAAGACAGTTCTGCATGGCGCTTGTCCCATTTCTTCTTTCTGGTCTGGTCTTGTTCGAGCTTTCATCTTAGAGAATTCGAAGCAGTATTCCCAAGACGTGACTTATTTATATACTTAATGATACATTGTTATATCAGTGCGTGGTATTGGGCGGTTTTGCTGACAATGTAATGTCACGTCGTGCTGTCTTAAAAAGCAGTCCAAACTTTCCTTACTGTTTCAATGTTGCCATTACCATTGACAATATAACAAATAACGCCAAAAAATCTGCATTATTCAAAATTTTTGTAACAGCTTTAGCAATTTATTTTTAAATATCGGGAATGTTTTGTAGCTTCTTATCGATAGCGCTCGTGTTACGCGAGGTGTAGGCGCATTGGCCGTTTCAACTAGCACTGACTATTTGACAAGTTGGTACCTATGCACAAATTTATAATAGCGTGGCAAAGTAAAATGACTATTGATCACTCGAACATAAACGCTGGCGCTTGTGTTCGTGTGATCAGAAGACTTTGCGCCTGTTTTGTTGTGCCATTTTAAATACATGTGTTTCAAACTGTGTTCGAATATTTGCTACATATACAAACATTACGCGAGAACAGACAATAACACCAAGAAAGCTGTATGGCATGCTATTAGCAGCAATTGTGATAAGTGTGTCATTAAGGGTAACTGACTGGATCCCTGGGAATGCAAGCGGGTTAGGGGAAGACAGAAGGTTGGGTGGGCAGATGAGATTAAAAAGTTTGCGGGTATAAATTGGCAGCAGCAAGCACAGGACCGAGTTGACTGGCGGAACATGGGAGAGGCCTTTGTCCTGCAGTGGACGTCGTCAGGATGATGATGTTGTTGATTATGATGATGATGATAATGATTAAATGTGTCACTTCTTCTACGTTCTTGAAAACGTTGGGCCAAAAGTGAGGAAATCTAACAGCCATGCTTAGGTCCCGCTCAGTGAAATGAATTGGTATGGAAAATGCATGCACGATCATTGTTTCAAGTTTCAGCGTTGCCGGACAGGCAACGTTTTTCATGCACATCACGCCGCGTGTTATATACACCTGAACAACGAAGAGAAAATAGGCGACATGCCTGAACCGGCGGTATTCGGCATGTAGGGAAGTCATCAGCAGCAACAACGGTCCTTGAAAAATGCTGCTAAGATTTGCTTAAGACACCCTCACATGTGAGCTACAAGATTTACTCGTTTTTCGCAATTCCGGAGCTTACCGGTCCCTATTCCTATTCCACGTTATCCCCCATGCATGGTATAACAGTGGCTAAGGTGCTCGACTATTGCTTCGGGGGTCGCGGTTTCGATCCCAGCAGCAGTGGTCACATATCGGTGGAGGCTAAATGGTGGAGACACGTGTACTGTGCGATTTCAGTGCACGTTAAAAAAAATCAGATAGCCTAACTTTCTAAAGTCCTCAACTACCACGTCCAGTGATCATATCGTGTATTTGGGACGTAAAATTGCAGATAAAATACGCATTATTTTGAACAACGTCACCACTCAAATCTATCTATAAAAACTGAGTCAACGACCTCCCACCAAACAAAGCCAATAAGGTAACAGTCACAGGTGGTCTTTGTCACCGTAAATAAACAATATAAAGATCAACTTGAAAAGGTAATTCGTTATTGCACTCTGTTGAAAGTGTGATGACAGAACGTATGTGTAGAATTTCACATGAGTGCTGCAGTTACTTCTTTATTAAATGCGACTCATTCGGAGAGCGTGAGGCACTAGCCGAAGTTTATCCTCTTAATTCCCTTCCTTACCACTGGAGGCAGGGCGGGGGTGGTAACCTTGCCAAAGCAGGGCCGTGTATTCGGTTTCCCAGGAGAGGGGGGTGGGCTTAGTTGAAGACCGGCACAAACGCACTAGTAAGTCCCTTCAATCCTTGCAAGCGTCCGGCTTCCCGCTACAGCACTTCGGCCGATACAGGCGCTACACGTTCGTGCAGAAAATGTAGTCAGCCTCGCAATATGAACGACGTACCAACCAAGACTTTGTAGGCATATAAATCGCATAATGACTACGTTGAAGTCGCCGACTCGTATGAAGGACGGACGGACGTATGCACTGGCGGACGGAGAGACGAACGGATGGATAAATAAATGGATGGGTGCACGGACAGGTAGACGGACGGGTGCACGGACAGATGTCGAATCATTGAACGGACGCACGAACAGATCGATGGACGAATGGACAGAGGTGCGGACTGAGAATTTTCTATTTTTAAATCATATATGCGCGCTAAGGACACGTGCTGTAGACGGTCTTGCACACAGTTATTTCACGCCTGCGCTCCAACTGAGCACGCCAGTGAAAGGATTTACATTGCGCTACACCAAGGTTGTTCACCCAATTAAGAGTTACCGTGATAGCACCTGTATTTTACTCATGGATATTGGTAGTTGTTTACTCTTTTTTTTATTGAGAAGCATTTCTTAGCAAGCTTCGGCGACATTGAGTGTATCTATCTATCTATCTATCTATCTATCTATCTATCTATCTATCTATCTATCTATCTATCTATCTATCTATCTATCCATCTATCTATCTATCTATCTATCTATCTATCTTGCCACTTATGTTTGGGTGCTCTCGTGGTCACTCCCTTAACTTGGCGTGAACCAAAATCGGCATGGGAGGGTTAGATGGTTTGACGAATAGGACGGGCTGGTCAAGGCATGAATAATGTCAGAATCTCGTCGCGTACGTCGTCAAACACTTCCCGCCAGACAGTGGAGCACATACCCATGGGCGGCTATGTGCCGCTGGTATGC